GTTTTATGTGTCCTATTGGGAAGATTTCTCTTGACTTCCTGTTCTTGAGACATAACAGAAAGTGAGACAACATATTTACAAAGTGATGGAAATTTCTTTGATAGGCTGTTGTCAGGGTGATTATGGTAAACATCAGGATTTGTTCTCACTTCAGGCCCAGTGACAAGAATCACCTGGGCAAAGAGAGTGGATAAGTCATAGACGACAATAAAAACTTGACATGTTCTAAGCTACATATCTATATAAAAAAACTTTTTTGCCTTTAATTTTAACCACTCCCCAGCCACCCATAGCCTGTAGACGGAGGACTGGAAGCAGTGCCAATGTGGGCTACCGTGCCTGTATGTCAGCCCACATTGGCAGCTCCTGAGCAGCTCACAGAGCACGTACCCAGGAGCCAGAGATCCCAGTGGATCACATTACTGCAGTGTTCGAGTGATCACATGGTGTTTTACCATGTGATTGCTGTGTCCAATCACAGCAATCACATAGTAAAAAATGGAAAGTGAAACTAAAGATCAGTTCTCACTGTGAGAGCAAAGATAAGCAATCTGCAAGTCAGTGTCACTGTTCACTGCCCCAGTGTAGTACAAAAATGCAGCCAGACCCTGTCACCTGTTCCAGTGTTCACAAAAATACAGCCATACACTATACCACCGCCCTGATCACCCCATACCAGTGCCATGATCTCCAACATACACTATACCTGTGCCCTGAACACTCCCATACACCATACCACCGCCCTGATCACCCCATACCAGTGCCATGATCTCCAACATACACCATACCTGTGCTCTGAACACTATCATACACCATACCACCACCCCGATCACCCCATACCAGTGCCATGATCTCCAACATACACCATACCAGTGCCCTGAACACTACCATACACCATACCACTGCACCCAATCACCCCATACCCCATACCAGTGCCATGATCTCCAACATACACCATACCAGTGCCCTGAACACTACCATACACCTTACCAATGCCCTGATCACCCCATACCAGTGCCATTATCTGCAACATACACCATACCAGTTCCCTGATCACCGCCATACACCATACCAGGGCTCTGATCATTGCCATACCCCATACCAGTGCTATGATCATTGCCATACCCCATACCAGCATATTGATTACTGCCAATCCCCATACCAATATTTTAATCACCCCATATGTCATAGCAGCGTCCTGATCTCCACCACACACCATACCAGTATCTTGATCACTGCCATACCCCATACCAGCATCCTGATCACTGCCATACCCCATACCAGCATCCTGATCACTGCCATACCTCATACCAGCATCCTGATCACTGCCATACCTCATACCAGCATCCTGATTACTTTCATACCAATGTCCTGATCACTGCCATACCCCATACCAGAGTCTAACATTTTAGGGTCTCCGGGAGACCCTTTTAGGGAGAAAGCTCTATCTGTCTCCCAAAAATAAAAAAAAATCACATGGGTACAGTGTTGCATGACTGGATAATTGTCACTCAAAGTGTGATAGGGCTGAAAGCTGAAAATTGGCCTGGACTGAAAGGGGGTGAAAGTGTCTGTACTTGAAGTGGTTAAACAGAGTTTTTTTTACCTCTAGTAATCCTTACCCATGCACATTGTTTTTGTGGTCAGTTTAAATGCTGAATTACATTTGTATTCAGTGTAAAGATACACTTAACGGTTGTAGTCAGTGTAGGATCCTCTTACATTGATGGTCAGTGACAGGAAGAACACCTCCTTACCGTCCTAAGGTTCATAGGAAAAAAAATGCTAATTTACACTGGTGATCAATAAGAGGAAGAATGCCCCTCTTACACTGCTGTTCAGTAAAAGGGAACGTAGGAAAAGAGACACTGCTGATTCTGTACTGCTGGCTTTGGTTTCCCAGTTGTCCAAAACTACAGTATGTGAGCATCATCTTTTGGGTGATCAAGCTGGCTAAGAACAGTGTGCTAGAGATGTGCACGACGGAAAAATTTGTTTTGTTTCGATTTCCTTCACTAAGTTAATACTTTTGTTCAACATATTTGTTATGTAAGAATGATCTGTTTTTGGAATTTGTTTTATATATTCTGATTTGTTTTGTATATTTGTTATTTTTGAAAGTTGGATCGAAATTTGAACATCGCATTTTCAATTTCAGAAGATGGCTAAATTTGTTCTATTCTATTTATTCCAGTCTGGTATTCTTTTTTATTCTATTCTATGTTATTACATCCTTTTCTATTCTATTCTTTAAAGCAGCCTAAGTAGGAATCATCCTCTTATTTCACTTTTTTATCTTACTGTATTTATTGCGTTATGTTTCCATGCAAATTAATTTTCAAACTCAAATTCATTTTTCAAGTCAAATTTGGATAATTCTTTTTGTTATAATTTATTTTAGAGTCATTGAAATTCATTACTATTGTGATTCAGAAATTCGGATACATCTGAATCTCCGAATAATTAAAATTGTGTCCGAATTTTGATACATATGAAATCATACATGTCTACAGTGTGCATGTTTGATGGGTGTCACTGACCTAGGGAATCAAGGAGGAGTCTCAGGCTATGTGCTTCAGATACTTAGCAATATCTATATGGTATGTGTTTTGTTTTTTAACTGCAATAAGTTTCTTGCATGAGCAAAACAGTGGCTATCTGGTTAGCTCTTCCGCCTGACAGCACTAAGGTCGTTGGTTTGAATCCCAACAATGGCACTACCTGTCTGGAGTTTGCATCTTCTCCCTGTGCCTGCGTGGGTTTCCTCCAGGTACTCCGGTTTCCTCCCACATTCCAAAGACATGCTGGTAGGTTTATTGGCTCCTGTCTAAATTGTCCCTAGTATGTGTATGTATGAATGTGAGTTAGGGACCTTAGATTGTACACCCCTTGAGGGTTAGGGACTGATGTGAATGTACAATATATAGATGTTGCGTAAATTGATGGTGCTATATAAGTACCTGTAAGAAAATAAATAAGATCCTTCTGTACAAAATGAAGGTTTTTTTATGACTGTCTACAAGAAAAACAGAATGGACAAAGAAATACAAGCTAATAACACTTATTGTGTGCAAAATAATAACACTCAGTTATCAATAATACAAAATACCAGATATGAGATTAAAGAAATTTGCTCAAAAACGGTCTTGCTGCCACTTTCTGACAATTAGGTGTTGATAAGGTCAATGAAGACCATTACAAGAAGCATGAAATTTAGATAAAATTGTCATGCTGGACAAAAGACTGCCACCGAAAAAGTTCTGCTGCAATTGTAAATACAGTAATGTCATGCTTTGTCAAGTTTCTCCTTGACAGATAATTTAACATCTGTCAGTGCATTCTGTAACATACTGTCATGCTATGAAACCATTCTAAAAATGTGAGCAAAAAGACATTAGTGTTAATAACAAATGTGCTATGGCAACATACCCATTAACATCTCTATGTCTCTTACTGGGTTTTTTATGTGCTGTCTGATTGCGTACTCGGAGTCAGTCTATCTGGTGACCATAACCTGATAGCAGCTTTAGATTTTCCTTTTACACTATGTGAGAAATTAGTAGATGTACATTTTGTAGCTATATTATTACATCTGTTAAAATGTAGAATGATATCTATCTATCTTTTTATTTAGCTATTATATTTATTTTATTTCAGATATTTTATTTATTTTATTAGCTTTATGTTTATTTCTATCTATCATTAATATTATACAGGACTTATATAGCACCAACAGTTTTGCTCAGCGCTTTACATTATTTCTTTATTTCAGGTACTTATATAGCGCCGTCCATTTATGCAGCGCTTAACATATATATATATCAGTCCCTAACCCTCAAGGGGCGTACAATCTAAGGTCCCTAACTCACATTCATACATACACATACTAGGGACAATTTAGACAGGATCCAATTCACCTACAGCATGTCTTTGGAGTGTGGGAGGAAACCAGACTTCATGGAGGAAACCCACACAAGCACCATGCAGGAGGCGCCATGGTCGAGAATCAAACCCATGACCCATTTACTGCAAGGCAGACGTGCTAACCACTAAGCCACTGTGCTGCCTGCTGTCTGTCTGTCTGCTATTTTATTTACTTTATTAGCTTGCTTTATGTTTATTTTGATCTATCTATCTATCTATCTATCTATCTATCTATCTATCTATCTATCTATCTATCATCTATCTATCTATCTATCTATCTATCTATCTATCTATCTATCTATCTATCATCTATCTATCTATCTATCTATCTATCTATCCTATATTATCTATCTATCTGTCTATCTATCTATCTATCTACCGTATTTTCCGGCGTATAAGACGACTTTTCAACCCCTGAAAATCTTCTGAAAAGTCGGGGGTCGTCTTATACGCCGGTGCGAGTCGGTGTCAGGGCGGCGCTGCCCCCCCCTCCTCCTCCAGCGGACACTAAGTACAGGGGTGGACAGAGGGGCTGCTGTACCTTACCTGGCTCCGGTCCCACGACGATCCGGTCCAGGAAGCGCGGCTGCTCCTTCTTTCAGTTCGGCCGCTCGATGGTCACGCGGCCGCTCGGCTCGGCTCCGCCTCCTCACCGGTGATTGGGCGCCAGCACTGGAAAGGCACACAGGCGACCAATCACCGGCGAGGTGGCGGAGCCGAGCGGCCCCACGAAAATCGAGCGGCCGCACTGGAAGAAGTAGCAGCCGCTCCTCTCCCCCACTGACACTAACGATGGGGCACTATTCCTCCTTCACACTGACACCAACGATGAGGCACTGTTCCTCTCCCACTGACACCAACGATGAGGCACTGTTCCTCCCCCACTGACACCAACGATGAGGCACTGTTCCTCCCCCACTGATACCAATGATGGGGCACTATTCCTCCCACTGATACCAATGATGGGACACTATTCCTCCCACTGACACCAATGATGGGGCACTATTCCTCCCACTGACACCAATGATGGGGCACTATTCCTCCCACTGACACCAATGATGGGACACTATTCCTCCCACTGATACCAATGATGGGGCACTATTCTCCCCACTGATACCAATGATGGGGCACTATTCTCCCACTTATACCAATGATGGGGCACTATTCCTCCCACTGACACCAATGATGGGGCACTATTCCTCCCACTGATACCAACGATGGGGCACTATTCTCCCCACTGATACCAATGATGGGGCACTATTCCTCCCCCACTGACACCCAAAGATGGGGCACTATTCTCCCCACTGACACCAATGATGGGGCACTATTCTCCCCACTGACACCAATGATGGGGCACTATTCTCCCCACTGATACCAATGATGGGGCGCTATTCCTCCCACTGACACCAATGATGGGGCGCAATTCCTGCCACTGATACCAATTGGTGTCAGTCGGAGGAATAGTGGCCCATCATTGGTGTCAGTGGATGAAATAGTGCCCCATCATTGGTGTCAGTGGGAGGAGTAGTGCGCCCCATCATTGGTGTCAGTGGGAGGAATAGCACCCCATCATTGGAATACCATACTGAAATACCATACCATATTGAAATCAAATCTGATGTTTTTTCATTTTTATTTGGTGTGTGTTGGAAGAGGGGTAGTCTTATACGGCGAGTATAGCTCAAACCCTATATTTTAACAGGAAAAGTAGGGGGTCGTCTTATACGGCCAGTCATCTTATACGCCGGAAAATGCGGTATCTATCTATCCAGCAATCTATCCTATATTATCTATCTATCTATCTATCTATCTATCTATCTATCTATCCTATATTATCTATCTATCTATCTATCTATCTATCTATCTATCTATCTATCCTATATTATCTATCTATCTATCTATCTATCTATCTATCTATCTATCTCTATCTATCTATCTATCTATCTATCTATCTATCTATCTATCTATCTATCTATCTCTATCTATCCTATATTATCTATCTATCTATCTATCTATCTATCTATCTATCTATCTATCTATCTATCTATCTATCTATCCAATCTATCTATCTATCCAATCTATCTATCTATCTATCTATCTATCTATCTATCTATCTATCCAATCTATCTATCCAATCTATCTATCTATCTATCTATCTATCTATCTATCTATCTATCTATCTATCTATCTATCCTATATTATCTATCTATCTATCTATCTATCTATCTATCTATATCTATCCTATATTATCTATCTATCTATCTAGCAATCTATCTACAATGCATCATAAATAAAACATAAAATGTGTTTTTAACCACATCAATACCGGGCACTTTTACCCCTTTCCTGCCCAGGCCAATTTTCAGCTTTCAGCTCTCTCACAGTTTGAATGATAATTGCACGGTCATGCAACGCAAAAACTATGTTTTTATCATTTTGTTCACAACTAGATCTTTCTTTTGGTAGTATTTAATCACCACTGGGGTTTTTATGATGGTTGCTAAATTAACAAAAAAGACCAAAAATTTTGATTAAAAAAACTCACTTGTTTTTGTTGTCGTGTATGCTCAAGTACTAACGGCCAATCTAATCTCTTGAGACCCAAAAATGTCAGGACAGTACAGATATCCCCCAAATCACCCCTTTTTTTTAAAAAGTAGACAGTCCGAGGTATTTAATAAGGGACATAGAGAGATTTTTGAAGTTGTAATTTTTTTGTCATAATTTTATGGAAAATTAAGACATAATAAAAAAGAATTGTGATTTTTTTTTTTTAACATACTGTCACCAATGCAGTACTGCATCATCATATAACTGGTGTGTCCATGATCAGGGACACTGATTGGTGACACTACGAAAAAAATATATACTTTTTTTTTAATTACATTGTTTTTCTTTTTTTTAAGATTTTTTTTTCATAATACACTGTGACCAGAGTAGTATAATGTTACCATTGTACCACTTTGGGGAAGTGATCAGTATACGAATTTCTTTGCTAAAAGCAAGCATTTAACTGAATGAAATCGATTCCTTCAAGTTTTTTTGTTGTGATTAGCTGTAGCTAATCACATGACACAGATGGGCTGTGATTGGCTCAGTCTGTACATGTGATCACTGTGACCAATCACAGTGACACAACTGTATACAATGGATGGCATGATAGGCATGGATGGCATGACATTGTTTACAATTGTCATGTGACCTGCTGTGATTGGTCACAGTAGGTCATGTGGTACTGGCAACAGTCCAGTACACAGATCTGTAATCAGCTGTGTCCGAGGTACACAGCAGGTGACAGATCTCACCACAGCGTGGCAAGATCCGGGAAGGATGTAATATGACGCCGACCCGGATCAACAAGATTCCGACTTGACTGTTATTCTGCTATTGGCTGGGCAGGAACAGGTTAATGATTTTTATTATAATGATACCTTGTAATCCTGTAATGATGGCACCTGCTTAGATGCTTGCTATTATATGGTGACAACTGTCTCCCAAATGTGCTTCTACATTGTCACACTAGGGGTTATTTACTAAAACTGCCTGGTGCAAAATCCAATGCAGCTATGCATAGAAACAATCAGCTGCAAGGTTTCATTGTCACAGCTTAATTGAAAAAGCTGAAGTTCCGAAGTTTTCCGTATGCTATCCCTGCTCTTTGCTAAATCAATTCTACCAGACCTGACTATAGGCCTCCTAAATGTACACCCTCCCAGCATCTCCAAGTCTCAATTTAAACTCCTCTTGCAAGTTACCACTGCAGCTAAACAGATTATGGCTGAATCGTGGAAGTCTCCATCCCTGTGTATTTTAACAGTTAGGAACAAAGTTACGTATGTTATGAGTCACGCCAAAGTAGAAGCCACCATCCTAGACACTGTTCCTAGATTTCTGTTGATATGGACCTCATGAGTGGAACGGTTCCTCCCACCGAATTTTGAAGACTCATTGCTCCTTCCTTGACATTTCCTAATCTCATATTGTAGCTACACTATATGTCCAGCTATACACTGATATGGCTTTGGGATTCTTTATTCTCTTTTGGAAGTCACACGCCCTTTCTTTCCCTCCCCTACTTCTTTTTCCATCCTTCCTACTTTTCCCCCCTCTTTTTTGCTCCCCCCATCTCACCCCCTTGTTTCATATGGAACCCTCACATGGTCTTCGGGAGCACAGCTCCCTCTCTGAAGTATATCCAGTTCCTACCTTCCTTTACACCATTGTATCCCCGCATGTCTTTTCTTATGGTTCCATGTAACATGCTTCTTTATGTTATTCCCCCATTTCTGCAGGACAACGTTTTTACCTGTTCTCTTGTGTATCCATACAGTATGTGCACATGGATTGTCCTATGTTTGTTTCTTTTTGCTTCTGATATTCAATAAAATGTTTGAACAAGGAAAAAGCTGAAGTTAGCAGCTGCTTGGCTACCATGCACAGCTGCACCAGATTCTGGGTGCTCCAGTTTTAATAAATCTCCCCCACTGTCACGTGTGTTCTGATTTAACCTCCCTGGCGGTATTCCCGAGTGTAGCTCGGGGTAAAATGTCTGTACCAAAAGCGGTAACCCCGAGCTACACTCGGGCTTACCATGCGGCGTTGCACAGGGATTCCCTACAGCGCTTACCTTGTCCTTCGCTCCCGCGATGCGTCCCCTGCAGCGTCCCCGGCCCTTCTCCGGCCGATGCCGGCATCTGGCTTCCGGTCCCTGTGACGTCGGGACGTACGGACACCGGAACTGGCGCCAAATTTGAAAATTTTAAAAAAATTACATTTTTTTGAAAAGATTATTTCATAGCAAAACATTCCTGTATCAAAGCATTTCACATACATTTTGTCCCGAGTGCTTTGTCCTGTGCCCTGCCTGCATTGTTACTGTTCTTTCTGCCTGGAAACTTAGAAAAGTCCACGGCGCCCAAAAAGCGTCCCTTTAGGTCAAAATCGGTTTTAGACCAGCTAGAGAACAGCGATAGTAAATCAGAACCACTTGCAGAATTGAGTGATAATGATTCGTGGGGGAAATTCGTCATCAGACACTGAAAACGATTTTGCGACTTTGCTCAGCGATGTGCGAACTTGGCGCTATATTTTCAAATTTTAGTGTTTTTGGTTTGATTATATTATTGAATTAAATTTTATTATTATTATTATTATATTAATATTTTTTATGAGTATTATTAAATTATAATTTATGATTTTGTGTTTCAAGTTTTATCATATCCGGAATGTTTACTAGACTCTTGTTCGGACAGATTTCAGGGAGTTATTCCTAAATTACAGGCCTACAATAAAAAAATACATATTTCCATGCAAAAAAATAGTACCGCTTTCAGCACCAAAAATCTGAAATAATCATACCGCCAGGGAGGTTAAGACTACAAGGGGCTGAACAGAAATTGTCTAAATCAATAAACCCACCCAGACCAATAATCTGCTCCCAATATTGGATTGAAACATGCAGACAAAATATGTTTTAAAAAATCTGAAGATCTGATGAATTGAGATGCAAAAAGTTGAAGAAGAGCAAGTTAGGAAGAAGTTGTGAAAAAGCAATACTTTATGGGAAAAAATGTTAACTGTTTATGATACTTATCCTGACGAAGTCACGTGTCCTAGTGACGTAAGGCGTAGATACGCTAGTGGGAGGAGCTTTTGACGATCGACGGCTTGACGCATATCCGGCGCGGGCGCCATCTTGGTGCTCCGTTTTCCGACATACAGTACACCCCTTGAGTGGTGTAAAGGCCTGTCTGCTTGCAGTTCTGTGTAAGTAGGTTTTAGTTTTTTCTTGGAATTTAATAAAAGGTTTTACACTATATGAGTCTCTCTTGCTTCACTGGTGATCGTGTTGGAGAGCCATATACTGGAGAGACACTACTGGTATCATCCACCGCTAATGATATAGCCAAGAGGAGGGAGTTCCACCATTACTGCCAGAGGGATCCACCTGTTATCCTGAGGAATATTCCAGTCATTACCTAAGGCTCTCTGGTCCCTAGGGGCCTGGGCAGGAAGGTGAGGGGGCACCCCAGCTATAGAGGATTGGCACACTGCAGTTCACATCTGCATGGAGTTTGTTTGATACACAAGGACACTATTCTCTAAGTTATATCTATGTCACTTCAATGCATGATATTCTCATATCTGTCCGCTTCACCCCATACTGATGTAATATATATTTGTGCATAATGTCTTTTTGCATATTTGGGCTATATATTATTGAGTCGCTTGCATGTTAATTTTAATATAGCGCCGCATTGTTTGTTTTATATTATAGTTTATTAGTTTGGTGCCGTGGCTGTGGCACTTCCAATACTGGCTGCTTAAATCATCCATCTATATATAGTGGCGCAGGAGATCTATTTCAATTATATATTTGTTTATGATACACAGTTCTTTGGAAAATTAAATGTCATTCAGTTAAAATTTATATCTGCTTTAATAAAAAAAATCATTTATCTGAAAATCTGGCTGACTTTTGCTTCTCTTACCATACATAACACAAAAAAGTCTAATGGCCAAGGCTGGTATGCAGCAGTGGTGATCTGCTTCTTTCTTAAACCGGAGTTCCACTCACCCTGTCAAAAAATAAAAGTCAGCAGCTATATAAACTGTAGCTGCTGACTTTTAAAAAACAGCCACTTACCTGTCCCTTGGTCCC